ATAAACATTAATATGATTACAATAATGTGTAGCTAAAATATTGGGACTTAGATTATTCCCATGTAAACTTGTTCTAGTTCCCCATGTAAGTTTGTTCTTGCATGTTGGATTTCAGATTCAAATTATTCTATGAATTCAATTTTTTCGTTTTATGCTGTTAAATCTCCTTACACTATAGGAAAATGAGGATTGAACAACGTTTAATTAACGACATTTTATTAAACGTCACTTTTTTTTTATAATTAACGGCGTTTTTTAAACATCGCCTTTGTTGTTAGGTAAAACGGTACCGTTTTGTAAATAGAAGATGTTTAAAATGCACCTCCAAACCCTGTCTCTCTTCACACCCTCTTCCCCGTCTCTCTTCTCACCCTCTTCTATCTCTTTAGACTTATATTTTGAAAACCCTATTTTGAGCACCGTCGTCTCCTTCTCACTCACTCGAATCTCTCACTCACTCCTTGCTCTCTCTCTCTCTCTCTCGATTCTTCTTCGGTTCAGTTATTCTTCTTCGATTCTTCTTCAGTTCGGTGATTCATCTCGGGATTGCAATTTCGAAGTTTGATTTTGAGCATAGATCCGCGATTCATCACCATGGATTTGGAACTCTTCGTCTTCTTCAATCAGAGGTTAGTTCCTCTCTCTTTCTCTCACTCAAATCTCTCTCGATTATTCTTCAGTTCAGTGATTCTTCTTCGATTTTTCTTCAGTTCGGTGATTCATCTCAGATTGCGATTTCGAAGTTTGATTTTGAGCATAGCTCCGTGATTTTATCTCCGTGCATTTGGAACTCTTCGTTTTCTTCGATCAAAGGTTAGTTGCTCTCTCTTTCTCTTACTCAAATACAAGATCTTGAGGTATGTGCTTTTGAGCATTCAACGGATGGTTTCTTGCTTTGCTGTTGGATCTCTCTGAATTTGGGACTTTTGATCAGTTGATTCAAATCTTACCTCCTGTATGATGCAGACGCTAAGATTTGAGAAACATACTCGATTTTGATTGATAAATATGGGAATGGAACTTGCAAAATTGTTGTTTTCACTGTAAATTGACCAAAGAAAGGAAATGTGTAAAAAAACTGAACTGAAGCTTAAGGTTTGGATGCAATTAACTGGGTATACATGTCAATACATGTGCATGATGTGATGGAATTTACAGTAAAATTTGGGTAAAGGTGGCATAGGGCTAGGCAAGTCTGATGCCTGCCTACTTTTCAATGGAGTAGAGCTCTAGAATAGATGTGTTACAAAAGAAAATCGTGTATAATTGCCAAGTTGAATTTTACAATATGTATCTTTAAGCTTCAGTCATTGGTTCTGTGGTATATTTCTGATAAAAATTTTCGGTTGCTGCCCATATTATATGGGCAAAGTTATTCAAATTAAGTTCGTATTACTAAATATGTAATCTACTGCTTCCTTAGCAAGACCAGAGATTTTCCAGTATGCTTTCTTATTTTCAACAGACTTCACAACTTTGTGTTCACAATATTTTGATGATCACCTTTCCCCCAACACGCCTTAACATCGGTAACCCAAAAAAAAAAAAAAAAAATATTCCCCTAGTTTGCAAGAATCAAGAAAAAAAACTGTCATTTTCCAAATGTGCAAGCAAAGAAATGTCATTGTGGAACTTTGATGATTAGACAACATGGAAAATTAGAATGATAGATCATGTGCTTTGGATTTTTAATTTTATTTTTTTATCTGCAGGTTTTCAATTTGATTTGAAGGTCAGTATTCAATTTGATTTGTTAGGGTTGGGTGTTCCTTTGTGAGTGTTGTTTTTTTAAGGGTGGGTGTTCCATTTTAATTTCTGCCCTTTGTAGTAATTATAATTGAGGTTATAATTGTCATTAAAAAAAATATCAATAGGCGGGGGTCCTTATTTCTTCTCTTATATGGATATCTGTGTCCTCATATGAAGGTTATTCAAAATTTCATTTTTTCCTCTATGTTGAGATTATACTTTCCATTTTCCTTTTTCAGTTGACACAAAGCTCATACTTTCCATTTAAGAGTTCTGTTATAACAGCACTTTAGAAGGTATCAAACTCATGGACGTGATTTAGATTCTTTGGAACACTAATTGTTCTTGTCTTTTCAGCAGGGGCCCTCCTGGTGATCTTTATGTCTACCTTGATATTGAGGAGATTCCAGAGATCCAAAGAGATGGCATAAATCTACTTTCATCTGTTTCAATTAGTTATCTAGATGCCATATTGGGCACTGTTGTTAAGGTAAAATTACTATCTTACCATTGTTAGTATAGTAAAAAATAAAATTTAAATGCTTCTAAACGTTTGACTCTTTGGTCTTCCACCCAAGCCATATTTATCTAATTTGAGTTCTAGAGTATAGAGGCCATTTTTAGAGTTAACACTACAATAGTTGAAATCTTAAATATATTTACAACCCATAGAGCAGATTATTTGAAGGAAGAGAATTTTAGCCTCAAGCTTGTGCACCAGTTGGACCTAAACGAAAAGGAAGAGAATCTTAGCCACAAGCTTGTATTCAATGCCAAAGCCTAACACATAGTTTAGAGTCCCCCTGGACCCAAGATGGCGAGACAGACACTTCAAGGTGGCTTCACTCCCGACCAAGCTTCCAAAGAGGCTTTTCTCACTCACTCTTTTCGCCTGTTCTCCATCTCTAAACTCAGTGGTTTCTGTGCAGTACTTTCTTTGTCACCGCTGCAAGCTCAGAGGATGGGGCATTGAATGTAGATTTCTTGCAAAGTTCCTTGGATTCTCCAACTGAATAACAATTTGTTGATTGCTTGACATTTAAACAGGTTAAGACAGTTGAAGGAACTACTGATCTACAGATTCCTTCGGGTACCCAACCTGGAGATGTGCTTGTGCTGGCAAAGAAAGGAGCACCAAAGTTAAACTGACCATCAATACGTGGTGATCACTTATTCACAATTAATGTTGCCATACCCAATCGTATTAGGTAAGCTGTTGTTCTAGTTTTAATCGATCAAATTATTCTAATAGTTCAATTCTTTCTTGTTTCCTTGACTATTCTAATGCAATTAAGCTTAATTTGCTTTGTAAAATTGTGCTTCTAAAAATTATACATGGTTAGATGTTTTATATACATTTATGGAAAAGAGACTCGGAAATTAGTTTGTAACAAATATGATAGATTGTGTATGGGTATTAGCTCATCTAAAGACAATTGAAAGTTTGAAATAAGGCATTGTTACATTGCATTTGGATGTGGTTCTTGTGCTTTTGGCAGTCCTTATAATGCTTGCTTAAAATAAAGAGTGCTTCAGAATTTCAGCAACTGACCTAATTTACATTTTATAGGATTGATAATGGTCAACTTTTTTACTTGTGTGTTCAAATGCTTTCTAGAAACTAATGCATTGGTTCAATTATGTGGGGCATGTAAACGCAAGCTAAAGATCATTTTATTTTTTTAATTTAATAATGGCTAAAGATGTTAGTGATAAAGATTTTAAGCTGTATCACAACTTGATGCAAGTATCGAGAAACCTAACCCATCATAAGCTATGCTACCTGAACATATTGATCTTGGACAACCAATTGCTACCCATTTACCAACTTCCTAAATCTTTAACCAGTTCTCTTTGCAAGTTAATGTACTATCGACTGATTCTTCAAAGTCCCAGCACAACCAAAATAGTTCTGGAAGAGATAATAGAATAGAAGACATATTCTGCTATAATTAATAGACACTAACCATTCAATTGAGAATTTCAACCATAAATTTGGAAGATGGTTATTATTATTATTTCCGCACTTATGACCTATTGTCTTAATTTTTAAAGAATATATAGTCGAGAGGAGACATTATCAGTGAAATGACAACAGTCGTGGACATAACCTAGTTTTGGGGGTAACGTTTTTGTTCTTTGTGTCTGTGTGCGATTTATCATTCATGTGCATTTGTTCTTCTTTTCCATCTTAAGTGTGTGCGATTTATTATCACTCTAGACCCTGCAGCAAAGTGGGTGCTTGTGCATTGGGTACATCCTTTTCTAGTTATGTATAGAACAGTGTTATATGACACATACATTTGTGAGTGGATTAAAATTTAGCCTACGTTTTAGCAGAATATATTCGTGGTGCAATTTTGTGTGCTAAAACATCAAGATAGATGAAGCAAAGGATTTGGTTATCAAATTACACAGGACACACTATCAGTGTCTGAACTTTGAATCATGCCAAGTTAATATGTTACTATCACTGTTTGAAATTTTTTGCTGGTTTTCAATTGGGATACATGTGTGTGTGTGTTTCACGCTTGTGTGTGTTTTTGCGTGTTCTCATGCATTTTCTGATCACCATGTTCCATTTTTATTTCTTGAAGGTTGTACACCTCTTACATTTGTTCGTATGCGCAGCGTGTTTGGACTGCACAGAATTACAAGGTTGTGTTAAATTTTATGGATAATTTTTCTACTCTACTATTTCTTTTCTTTTTTCTTTTATTCATGTTACTACAATTCTCGATTTGAAATTTCTTTACTTCTTTGTGCAGGGTCTACAAGAGAAGATCAAATTAGTTCCTATTAATCTTCAAAATAGGCCAGATTGGTACAAGGAAAAAGTCAACCCACCAAATAAGGTTACATTCTCAACCAAAATTAATTGTTCGGAAAATACTGTTTGGTAATTTCTGTGTTCCTCGTTCTCTTCTTAAAATTGCAGAAATTTATATCTATCAAATGAGGAAAAAATCACAAAATCTGTTGAGAGCCCTCTTGTTTCATGGATTATGATATTTACAGGTTCTTTTCTTTTTTCCTTTTCAAAATTAGTAGGTGCCATCACTGGAGCACAATAATGAAATTCGAGGAGAGAGTCTTGATTTGCTAAAATATATTGATAGCTACTTTGAAGGACCAACTCTTTACCCTGATGTAAGTAGATTTTTCACTCTTGACATAAAATTCAACTCTCTATCGCTTCAAAAATTTGAATTCTAGAGCGTATCAAATGTCTCTGGGATCCCACCAAGTGAGCATTTGTTGAGGAGTTGCTATCCTACATAAACACCTTTAATCTGGCCGTGATCACTTCACTGAAGGGAGGATCTGAAAATGAAATCAATAAGATTCAAGACGTGCTATGTTTTTTTTTTTTTTTTTTTTTGAAGTACTACGATCTAGAAAGAAATTTAACATTTTATATGAATCATAATGTGACCCGCTCTAATAAACCTTGACAGGTACTGCTTTTGATTACCTCGAATCAGCTCTCTTCAAATTTACTGATGGACCTTTCTTCCTTGGTCAGTTCAGTCTAGTACGTTAGTTGCACTATACTAATTTGATATTGGTTTTCCATCTTTACCGTTCTTATATTTAAAATTATTATGTATTACTTAAACTACAAATGCAGTTGTGTTATGCATTGTAGTCAAAGAAGTGCGAACTAATTTATACTTTCCAAGAAGTTGGTGAATATATAGTCAATTTGTAAATTGTAATGGAACCCCTAATCTGTGTCAAAATTTCTATGTCGCAGGTCGACATAGCATATGCTCCATTCATAGAAAGATTTTATCCCTTATTGCTGGATGTAAAGAAATATGACATCACTACAGGAAGACCTATGCTGACATCATGGATTGAGGTTCATTACCTATCCCTTCCTTTTTGTGCAGAGCTTCTTTTATGTGGATGTCAACCAACAAGCAACAGTAATAGCAATTGGTAACCAATTATCAACTGAGATGCTAAAATATATAGTTCATTTGCCTGTAACTAGGTTGCTTTTTGAGTATACATTACTGAATTTTGGATTTTGAATTTTTATGTTGTTTGATTTTTATGTTGACATCATTTGCCTGTAGCAGTTTCTAGTATTGTGCGATTTTTATGTTGACATCATTGTTCTTTCTTAATAGACATTCCACAGATCGTGAAGTTGCAATCATGATGCTTCTAGCCTAGTTGTCATACATGATAGCTGAGGTACCAAAGCATTCTAAAGAAAAAAAAAAAAAATAGAAACTATATATATCCTTTAAAATTCTCCTTATAACATTCAAGAAAAATAATAATTTCGGTTATAATATTGATTGTCTTGATTACAAAAAATGTGCACGTAGACATTTTTATGTTTTTTCTACAACTTAGACCACTTACTAAATCACCATTTGTTGTTTTTCAAGGACATTAATAGCCCTTATCTCTGCTTCAGCTAGTGTTAAAGTCTTGAATCTTTGAATCCACTTTCGTTCTTCAGTCTTCAATGACTCCCTTTGTTTGCTTAATGTTTAAGCTTGTTGAGATTTGTATGAAATATCATTTTGTTCTCCAATCTCTAAGATCACAAGTTCTATTTTAATTTTAATTTTAATTTTTTAGTCATGTGAGATGAGTATAAAAAGTATCCTGCTTTATCAATCCCCAATCTTTTTTATTTTTTTATGTCGTTATGATTTACCTTTTAATCATGATGAATGGATAAAATTGTTTCCTATTCATCCGTGAGGCATAGCCATAGTGCTTCTTTGCATTTCTATTCTTGGAATTGTAGTGCTTCTTGGTATGTGATAAAATCTTTTTGTTAGTGATCTTCAAGTTTTAATTATTGTTTATAAGTATTGGGTACAAATTCTTCAATTTGTGTTTATTTTGATGAATTTGATTGTAGTTTATGTTCTGATGCAGGCATATAGACCAATGATGACTATAACTTCTATGCTAAAACTTGATTTTTTGATATATGTTAGTTTATGGTTAATGTTGAAACATGATTTTTGGATTTTGGAAATGCTATTTTGTGGGTAATGGTGATTGGATATTAATTGAATGAGATATTGAATTAATGCTTCATTTGTTATTTGAATGGAGTTATTATTTTCTATGTTAGTTTTATTACAGGTATTTCAATGGGAGTTAATGTTTTATATGTTAGTTTTATTACAGGCATTTTTTAAATTCAATCAAATAAAATTAGCACAATTTCAAAAAAAAAAAAAGGGAAAGGGATATGACGGCGTTTTTACAAACGCCTCCTAAACCCTATATACTAACAGTCATATTTTTTAAAACAGATACCACGGCGTTTTCAAAACATCACTAAATATTGTTGGTGACGTCAGTGTGTGTATAGTAGGACATTTAGCGGCGTTTTTTAAAACGCCTCCTATACTAATATCGCGACGTTTTTGAAACGTCACAAAGTTACAGCGACGGCCGCATCTTCGACGTTTGGTACTAAACGCCACAAAAAGAATTGGCGGCGTTTTTGATAGATTTAGCAGCGTTTTTTAAACGCCACTAAAAGTCCAATTTCCAGCAGTGCTACATTATTTGGGTTTTCTTTATTTTATTTTGTTTTGAGGACTTGGGTTCTGAGAGTTTGGGACCCACTTTGTGTGGTAATCTTGATCCTATATCTTCAAGTTCTGTATTGTAAGCTTCACTTGCTTGTTGCATGTGTTAATAGGAGTATGATTTCTTGAAAAACTCATGAAACAATGCTAATTTGAAATTGTTGAATAATCAGTTAGGCAATTGCGGGCTTGCATAGAAATGTAGACTGGTCTATTCATTAGGAGAACATTGATGGTGGTGTTATTTTGTATGTGGGTGCCTATGAAAGTCATTGGTAGGACTGGAAATGCTAGTGTTTCTTCCTCAAAGCTGAGTGTAGTATTGGAGCTTTGTATACCTTCAATTCTGTTGTTGGACGATCAACAAAGCCAGCAATTGAAGCTGCGGTTGATGATGTCAATTCTGATTCAACTGTTCTTGCTGGGATAAAATTGAATCTTATTTTGCATGACACGAATTGCAGCGTCTTCCTTGGAATTGTGGAAGGTAATCTCTGAATTTATACACTAGTATTGACAAAGAACTGTCTTTACTTGAGGCTACCAAAATAGAAAATGTTTTAAGGAATACTTCTTTGCCTTGGTATAATAGGAGTTCGCTACTAATTATATGTTTTGTTGAGTACCAAGTTCTTTGTTGGATATAGATTCTCAGTATGAGTTTCTTATAACGGCACTATTTTCTGAAGATCTATGCTTCTAATGCCATGTTCCTAGTCTTCTTAGAAGACTAGTTATAGAATTGCGACCAAACTACTAACTTTGTTGAACATATTTTAGTCTTGATCTATAGATGTTGTCCTACTACACCAACCATTGACAAAGAAGTCTTTTAATGTCTTTGTTGTTGTATTTTTTATGATAACTAGAATGCCGAGTTTGGCATAAGGGCATTTTCTGTTTGCTCTTGGTTTAGTTTGGTACTTTCAGTTTTTTCTCTTTGAGTGATATTTGTCCTTTGGGAACTTTATTTGTTATGCATTTTTATGACATTTTCATTCCTGAAAGTTATGCCTAATGGTTCTTAGATATGACAATGAATAGTTGTGCTAATATTTGTATGAACATTGAATTATAAGCATGTATAAATAAAATGACACAGGGTGGAACCCTCATGTACTGATCTAATTAGATATTACTCCTGTGAAAGGATAGTTGTTATCAAATCATTAACTGCTTTGGTATTAACAAGCGAAAACTACATCAAAAATAATTTATGTTTTCTCGATCACAGGCAACACTAATTAGCCTACTCAGAGATGCGTAAAAAACAAAAAGCATTCTTGCACTTCACATCCAATATTATATTCAAGTGAAATTTATCAATAATGAATAAATTCTATGTGACCGACAACTCCTTTCAATGAAAAAGAATGACAACAAAGCAAGAAAATTTGAACTAGCTTCTCTCTCTCTCTCTCTCAAACATCAAAATAAGAAATGAGAAATTTTGATAAGTTGTCTTTAATTACTTATGTAGCTTTGCAGTTGATTTAGAATGATGTGGTTCCTGTAATTGGCCCTCAATCCTCTGGAATAGTACATGTTATTTCTCATGTTATCAATGAACTTCATGTGCCGCTCATGTCATTTGCGGGAACAGACCCAATGCTGTCGGCATTGCAGTTCCCTTACTTCCTCTGCACTACACACAATGACTATTTCTAGATGTATGCAATAGCTGATCTTTTTGAATTTTATGGCTGAGGGAGGTAGTCACCATCTTTGTCGATAATCATTATAGAAGAAATGGGATTTCTGTATTAGGTGATGCCCTTGCAAAGAAGCATGCCAAGATTTCTTCCAAGGCTGCATTTACTCCCGGAGCCTCTTGAAATGACACAATGACTTGTCAGTTAGAGTAAACATGATGGAATCTGTAACGCCCTCAAAATAAACCCATAATATATAACATTGACATGCATTAATAAAAGAAAACCAACCATTATACCATTCATCAGAGTATTCTTATTGAAAAGCATTACATGTAACATCAAAAGTAAATGCCCTACGGGCTTACATCTTTCCAAGCCAACACTTGGACACAAAATGTGAGTACTAACTCAACTACAAATTAAGCCCTTGGCTTGATTGTTTACATGTAATATCAAATAAAATAAATAACAACTAAACAAACAGAGTCTTCAACTCCAACTCCTTCCAAGCTAAGTCCTTGGAGGTAGCATATCACCTGAACCTGAAAATGATGTTCCCGTATAGGGTGAGCCACAGCCCAGTAGAAACATACTAAACCAAATATAAGCATTGAATAAAGCAATAGTATTCAATAAATGGTTAACACAACTATTCACTTTCCCAACATACAGTTTCATGACATTACTGTCGATGACACGTTTCATTTTCCATTATTTGTTCAACTTTCCATTTATATCAATATGGCTCAGAACCTGGCCGAACTATAACAGTGAACTAAATATGACATTAACATTTCTTCCAATATCAACAAAACAAATGAGACTAAGGCTCATACCAAAACACTTCCATACTTCCCGATTGATACATATTTTAGTGCTATATCAACAACATGCAAAAACACTTCCATAAATCAATAAGCACACATATAGTGGTGCTAACGGAGTCCATCCCCTATCTCCTCCCAAACAAAATGCATATACAATGTATTAAACACTTGGCATATACAACACACAATCAATACACGTATTTCTGTATTAATTCAACAGTCAAAATCAACGACTTAACCAATGTGATTAGTTTCAGTTTTTCCTAATCCACATGCAATGTCTACAACAATCACGACTATCCTCCACCGATAGCCCAAAAGAGTTATTTCTAAACAGGAAATAAATGAATCAACTAATATAATTCCAACATTTTCATAGGTGAGTGATTAAACAAATCAACTACACCATTTAATTAATAAATTCCTCAATTTCATGAACTCAACTATATTCCCCAATTTTCCCTAAATTAATTATACAAATTAATTTATTACAACAATTAGAGTTTTTCCCAAAATTACCAAACAACCCCCAACATATCAAAATACCAAAACTTAGGACAAAACCTATAATATGGAGTAGGAAATCCCTACCTCGAAGTAAATAACCCGAATGGAGAAGATGAAGGCCAAAAACCAAAGTGCTCCAAATCGCCAAACTTTCAGATTAAAATGAAGCCCTCAACCCACTCTACCTTTCTTACAAAGGACTTAGTATAGATTTACACTAGAGGGAGATGAAAACCTAGAGAGAAGGTGTGTAGGGAGAGAGAAGATGGTTCTAGGATTTTGAAATCAAAAGGGAGATGAAAAAGTGATATTGAAAGGTTGTTATTAAAGCCCATTAATTGGAAAATGAAAAGACAAGTTAAAATTAAATGAACACTAATTGAA